CTATTCTATTCTATTCTATTCTATTCTATTCTATTCTATTCTATTCTATTCTATTCCATTCCATTCCATTCCATTCCATTCCATTCCATTCCCTCCCCTCCCCTCCCCTCCCCGTCCAGTCCAGTCCAGTCCAGTCTAGTCTAGCAAAGGCTCCCTGATTGTGTGACTGTTTCTTAGTATGATTTGATTGCTTATTGTACCCTATGACTATTATTAAGTGTTGGACTTGACTTGGATTCTTGACTCTTGATGAATGTACCTTATCTTTGATGTACACTGAGAGCATTTGCACCAAGACAAATTCCTTGTGTGTCCAGTCATGCTTGGCCAATAAAGAATTCTATTCTATTCCTGTTCTGTTCTGTTCTGTTCTGTTCTGTTCCCTTCTGCTCTGCTCTGTTCATTTGGGCCGCACACTTGGAGCCTGGGAAACGAAAGGAGGGAGGATTTCGCTGTTGCCTAGGCCAAGTGTTGGGTGGAAGACAGATTGAGGAGCCTTGGAGGTCCTGAGCCATTTTTGCCTCTCCTTCTACAGACCGGTTCAACGTCTTCCTCCTGCCCTGCCCCAACCTGGACATCTATGGCGAATGCAAGTTGCAGATCACCCATGAAAACATTTACCTCTGGGACATGCACAATCCCCGGATCAAGCTCGTTTCCTGGCCTTTGTGTTCCCTGCGCCGCTACGGACGAGATGCTACGCGGTTCACCTTTGAAGCTGGCCGGTATGTCTGCAGATGGATCCTCTGAGGATGGGGGAGGGGGATTGGCCCCTGTGTGACAGTTCTTCCTTTGGCCCAGAAGGCAGGTCGTCTGGAAGGCGTTGGCATGCAGGGTGAAGTAAAGTACTTCCAGGGTGTATGAAAGTATGGATTTCCAAGTCCTACACAGAAGATCTGTAGATGATTTTGAAGCAGTCCCTCTTGTGGCTCAAGCCTATTTTACAAGGCTATAAAGCAGGGGTCTTCAAACTTGGCACGTTTCAGACTTGTGGACTTCAACTCCCAGAATTCCTCCTCCAGTCATGTTAGCTCAGGAGTTCTGGGAGCTGAACTCCACAAGTCTGAAACGTGCCAAACGTGCCCTTGCTATAGAGGAACTGTGGAAAATTCCATGCCTAGGATGGGACTAGAATTCACAGCCTCCTGGTGATTGGTCCAAAGTCACCTAGGCAGCTTTCCTGGCTAAGGCAGGACTAGACTAGAACTCACTGTCTCCTGGTGATTGGCCAAAAGTCACCCAGCCAGCTTTCATGGCTAAGGCAGGACTAGACACTGTCTCCTGGTGATTGGCCCAAAGTCACTTAGCCCGCTTGTTGAGGTAATTCCCCGTTAGGAGAATGAGCGCATACAGGAGACGTATTTGAGAGTAGTGTTTGAATAATACACATACAGCACACAGATACACTGTACAGTAAATGTAGGTTTTTACTTCCAGACAGTTTAAGCAAATTTCAAGATAAGCAGTCCAAAAGTCATTCACAGGTAAATCAGTCAGTTTTTCAATCCAGGGATAATTAAATAACAAAGTCCAGTGTCAAAAAACAGTTCAGTATCAGACTTACATTAAATCCAGAAATAGCAGTCAATTAGGAAAAATGGAGGAACGGCAACACTTTCCAAGAGAAGGAAACAGAGATACTCACTCAGACACACTCTCTTCTGAGACTAAGACTGAAACAACCCAGGTTTCTGGCTCCATCTTATGGCCGTTTGAGAAACCACACCTGATTACAGTTTTGCATTTTCTTAAAGATACAGTTTTAAAATGTTTATCCTAGTTTATATATTTCTAACCCAAATACCTGTTAGGTGACTTATATTCCTAACACAGCTTTCATTCCTAAAGCAGGACTAGAATTCACTATCTCCTGCCGATTGGTCCAAAGTCACCAAGCTGCCTTCCATAGCTAAGGTGGACTTGAGCTCACCGTCTCTTGCCTTCTAACCTGGTGCCTTAACCACTAGGCCAAATTCTTCACAGTGTGTTGTAAAGCACATGTCATTCTTTGCCCTCTGCATTCTCCCTTGCTCTCTACCAATATTCATGGACTGGGGGCAGGATGGAACCCTGGATACAGCAGAAACCATGGCCAGGATAGGTTGCTTGTGGTTACGGGCAACCTACCTTTCAGCAAAAGTTAGATACGAAAACATCTCGCTACGCAAAAGAGAGAATGTACAGGCAATCCTCAGCTTTCATCAGAGCCCAAAATTTCTGTTGCTAAGTGAAACATTTGTTAAGTGAGCTTTGCTCCCATTTTACAACCTTTCTTGCCATTGTTGTCAAGTGAATTGCTGCAGTTGTTAAAGTAGTCAAACCGTTGTTAAGTGAATCCAGCTTCCCCATAGATTTTATTGTCATGTCACAAAAGGTGTGTCAGGATTCCAGCAATCGCCCTAATGAAATCGTGATTCTCGAACCAAACTTCAACCAACTTCAAAGGATTTATTAGAGGCAACATATTGGCACTGCCCTCTGTGAAGCCAACTCTGGCATACGTAACTTACAGTCCCCTGTGACCCTGTTTCCCCCCTCCCCCCTGGGTGTCTCATAAACCAGATTCTCCACTTGAGCACATTCACAAGCTGGATGTCATCAATCACGTTCTCCAATTAAGGATTTTCCTAGGCAGAAGATTCAGTAGCTTAGTTACAATCTTTGTAAGATAAGTGTGGAATGTACTTTTGCTGAATTTTGATCACGTGACTATGGGGATATACTACAACAGTCATCAGTGTGAAAAACTAGCCGTTTTTTTTTTCAGTGCTGTTGTAATTTTGAAATGGTCTCTAAATGAAATTTTGTAACATTGGGTTTAATTTTAAGGCTTTCAGTCTCATCCCTGTGAAGCCAGAACCCGGTTTCCAGGACCTTTCAGCTTCCTCCTTTTATAGGCCACTCGTGTTATTATTATTATTATTATTTGCAAGTTTTTGGACCAGTATTTCTCAACCTTGGCAACTTTAAGATGTGTGGATTTCAACTCTCAGGATTCTGGGAGTTGAAACCTGGGAGTTGAGGTCCCCATCTCTTAAAATCAACAAGGTTAAGAAACACCAGTTTAGACTTCCCCTCTCTGCACCTAGGAGGTAATTACCATCTACAAAGGCAAGAAATAGGATCTTCCCCTTTTTATTCCAGACCTTCCCTGACTGCCTGGCTTTTTAATACCATGATTAGAGGGTTTTTCCAGCGTCACCACGCCCTGCTCTGAGGCAGTGGGGCTCTGTTCTAACAATAAAACTGTTTTGCTGGCAGAGAAAGCAAAGGAATAATCCCCACCCACCCACCCACCCCCTGCCAGAGGCAAAAAGAAAAACCCTCCAAGAAAAGGCAGGTTCCATTCCTCTCGTCTTTTGCTCTTGTGGGAGGGTTTCAGATTTGGAAAGGATACATCTGGGCTCTGTTTAACACAGAGGTCTCCAAATGGCAACTTTAAGGACAGACGAACACTATACAGAAGCCTGATGATGGCAGATGAGATTCTGCCGAAACGTTGCTACAACTTTCTTTCTTTCTTTCTTTCTTTCTTTCTTTCTTTCTTTCTTTCTTTCTTTCTTTCTTTCTTTCTATCTATCTATCTATCTATCTATCTATCTATCTATCTATCTATCTATCTATCTACGTATCTATCTGCGTATCTATCTGTTTGTCTGTCTATCTATCTATCTATCTATCTATCTATCTATCTATCTATCTATCT